AGGTTGGGATAGAAAGAGAGGGACGAGAGGGAAGGTCCCAAGAGAGTCCCCAACCAAGGAAACCCCATAAGCACAAAGATTCCCTCCCTATAGGAACCTCAACTTTGACCTTTGTCCCTTCCCAACCAATCCATCCAAGTTGGCCACCCTTGCCAACCTAGCTTGGTTGTTCCCAACCAATTTGCAGCTGTTACAGTAGAGTGACAAATTTCCCCAACCCCAAAGGTCCCAACTCCATATAGAGTCACCCCACAACTTCACTTTGTAACCGCCGCAATTGTAACGCAAGCTCATGAACTTTGAATCTTCATAGCTTTCGCGTTCTTGCTCCGATTGAAGCGATTCTTGTTGCGTCGGAAAGATCTTCTCAAGATCTATCATCAAAATACCTGCTCAAACAAAAATAACACAGAACACATTCCCAAACTCCAGAACACACCACACACAAATTCTTTCACATTCAAACCACACATGCAAGTTGAAAACATGGGATGGGAGGCAGACAGAATGTGATAGCATATGATGACATCACACAACAATCTCCCCCTCTGGCTGCCAACCATCATCGACCATACCACATCTCAAGCATGCATACTCAATGCACACTCATCCCAGCAAGCTTCATGCCCTTCCAATGATCCGCCTCCGCCAGACGCTTAGTGAAAATATCTGCTGCCTGCTGATGGGTCTTCACTATCTCCAGCCGCACCTCCTTATCAAGGATTCTCCTCACCCAATGCCACTTAGGCCTTATGTGTTTTGTCAGCCCATGCAGACAAGCATTCTTGGCGAGCTTCACAGCGGACTCATTGTCACAAAACACAACTGTCGGCTTCTCCTGACCAACTCCCAACTCCTCCAACAAACGCCTTAGCCACACTACTTCCTTGGCCCCATGGTGTAAGGCCATGTACTCAGTCTCACATGAGGACAATCCCACCTCATTCTGCTTCTTGCTGCGCCAGCTCACAGCACCACCTCCTAGCAAGCACACATAACCCCCAATGCTGGTGCCATCCGCTTTCACTGAGTTGAAGCTAGCGTCAGTATAGCAACTCAAGAGCATCTCTCCACTCTTCACATCTGCAGCACCTCTCTGCAACCGCTGCCTCACTCCACTGTACTCCAATCCCACTGATGCCGTAGCGCTCACATAGCGGACCAACCTCTTGGCCGCTTCCAGCTGCTCATGACTAGGGCGTGAGACCACACTAGCCAATCGTGATGTAGCAAATGCAATGTCAGGCCGTGTATGATTTGCAGCATAATTCAGCGACCCAACCATCGAATGAAACAGCTTCCTGTCACTATCACCCACTACCTCCTCATCAGCACATGGCTCCACAGTAAACCCTGAAGGTAGTGGTGTTGCTGGCTTTCCCCCATCTTGCAGCCCATACTTCTCAGCCAGCCCCTCACAGTACTTCCTCTGGTGCAACCTCAGCACACCCTTTTCCACATCTCTCTCCACGTGCATCCCCAAGTAGTACTTCACCTCACCCATCTTGGAGCACTTGAACTGCATCTCCAGCATCTGCTCTGCGCTGTCCAGCAAAGCAGTGGATGCAGAAAAGAGAAGGATATCATCCACATACACCAAGAGCATGAGGATTTCATCCTTCTCCTGCAGCAGGAACAGGCTGGGGTCACACTCACTCTTCTTGAAACCCCCAGCCAACAGCGCCTCCTCCAACTTGTGATACCATGCACGAGGCGCCTGCTTAAGGCCATAGATGGCCTTCTTCAGCCTGCAGACCCTGCCGCTCCCGTCATCCAGCCCCTCTGGCTGCTTCATGTACACCTCCTCCATAATGATCCCATTCAGAAAGGCAGTCACAATATCCATCTGCCGAATCTTCCATCCCAGGAGTGCAGCTATCGCCAACAGCACCCTCAGTGTTGTTCCTTTCCCCACAGGAGCAAACACCTCATCATAGTCCTTCCCCTTTGTCTGCTGAAACCCCCGTGCCACAAGCCTAGACTTGTAGCGGGTCAGCTCCCCTTCAGGTCCATACTTGTGCCTGTAGATCATCTTGGAAGTGATTGCCTTCTTTCCAGGAGGCAAGTCACACAGGTCCCATGTCTCGTTCTCAATTAGGGACCCGAACTCCTCATCCTCACTCGCCTTCCACTTCTCCCCATTTGGTCCATTCAAGGCCTCTTCTCGAGTCTTGGGCTCAGGGATTGGTGCCCAGTAGCAGTGAGCGATCTCATCTTCCTCAATCTGCTCAACCACACTCCCAGCCTGCACCACATTCGGCTTGCCTCTTCCCCCATAGGTCAGCCTCACTGGAGGGCGCACATCCCTCCTAGGACGCTCAGGCGGGTGTGGAACTCGAGGTGGAGACTCATGCTGCTGCTGCTGCTGCTGCTCTACTTCAGCTGCTCCCCCTTCCTCAGTCACCCCAGACATCTCCTCCTCTGACACTGCAACCTCCACCTGTCTTGAAGGCTGCTGCACCTCATCTGCCTCCACAATGAGCGGTGTAGATGGAAGCTTCTGTTGCTGCTGCTTCCATTCCTTGTAGTACAGGGACTCAAGAAACTTCACATCCCTTGACACTGTCAACTTCTGGGTGGTCAGGTCCCATAGCAGCCACCCCTTGTGATCCTTTGCAATCCCCAAGTGCACACCCCATCTTCCAGAAGCCTCCAACTTCCCCCTTTTCTCCTTGGGCACATGAAACACCACCATGCACCCAAATGCCCTCAGCATGTTCACCGCTGGAGCACTCCCATACCACTTGGCATATGGGATCCACTCCTTATCTCCAACTGTAGCCAGCACCCTATTCTTCACAAGGGCGACCTGCCTCAGTGCAGACACCCAAAACGGATCAGGCAGCCCTGCACGCCCAAGGAGAGTGCGTGCCCCCTCCTGCAGGGTCCTGTTGAACCTCTCAGCCACGCCATTCTGCTGCGGGTTGTAGGGCACTGTCAGTTGATGCTGGATCCCCTTCCTCTTCAACTCCCCCTCAAAATCAGCTCCAATGAACTCCCCACCATTGTCACTGCGGATCACCTTCACCTTGTGTCCGCATTCCCTCTGAGCTCTAGGCATCCACTCCTTAAGGACAGCCGCTGCCACCTCCCCCTTGCTCTTCAAAGGGTAAACCCACACTGCCCGAGTGTGGTCATCCACAATTGTCAAGAAATAGCGGCTGCCTGAGAGGGAAGGGGCTCTTGTGGGCCCCACCACATCCATATGCACAAGTGCAAGTGGGGTCTTGGCTGGTCCTGTAGTGCTGTTGAAGGGGAACTTGGAGAACTTGGTCTCCAAGCATGTAGGGCAGCTCCCAATCTCCTTCACTCCCCCTTTCACCTCCAAGCCCTTCAGGCTCCCATCCTTCACCAACTTCTGCAGCATAGGGAAGTTCACATGACACAGCCTCTCATGCCATGTCTCCCAATCGGCCTCTCCACTCCTTGGTGAAGCCTTAGCCCATGCCGCACTCGCATCCACACCAGCAAGCACCTCACCATGTGTCTGCTGCTTCTGCACTTTCTTGACTGCTTCCAGCACCCCATCAGTTGGTGCAGTTGCATCTCCTCCTGCTGTTGCCTTTGCCACTGCTGCCGTTGCTGCTGTTGGAGTCTTCCCATTCCAAGGGATGATGGGCAGCTGCCACAGGTCCTTGATGCAGCTGGTCTCCTCTTCCAGACTCCACAGCACCTTCTTCCCAAGCTTAGCACGGCAGCTGGTTGGTCCAAAGGTCACTTCGGCCTTACTCTTCTGCAGTCGCCGCACAGAGAGAAGGTTAGCAGACAAGCCTTTAACCAGCAGAACATTCCCAAGCCCCACAAGCTCCCCATTAGCTCCCTTAACCTTGGCATTCCCAACACCAATCACGGGGAGCAAAGCACCTGACGCTGCTGCCACATACTTAATCTTCCCAGGGGGTTTTACCTCATCAAGCAAATCTGCCCGTGGAGTCATGTGACTGGTGCAACCCGAATCAATCACCCAGTGCGTGAGAGGGTGCATCACAACCTTTCCCACAGATCCCACATCACCCTCATGCCCATGCACATCCTGAACCATAAGAAACAAACCAGGATAGGCATTACCTTGTGCACCTTCACCTTGTGCACCTGAGCCTTGCACAGCGCCACCTTGTGCGCGTTCACCACTGGGTGGCTTCATGCCTGGAGGTGCCCATCCCTCCGGCCTGCTGAAGCACTTGAACCAAGGATGCCCTATCTTCTTGCAGTACCAGCACGTGCCCTCCATTCTGGTACTCCCCCTGCCACTAGAGCTCCCATGCCCCTCATTATAGTCACCTCGGCCTCTACCTCTGCCAAAGCTCCTCCCACGGCCTCGGCCTTTCCAACCCCCTCTTCCTCTGCTGCGCCCTGCAGCTCCATACCCCTCAGCAGTCTTAGTGGCAGCACCGCCTCCCACATGGCGTCTGCGGAAGTCCTCCTGCAGAATCTGCTGCCTTAGCCACTCAGGTGTCCATTGATCTTGCTGAGAGTTGAGGGTGGGGATGAGGTTGTCCCAAGAGTTGTCCAACACCGAGATGATCTTGGTGCACTGCTGCAGCTGAGATACACTGCTGCCCGCTGCTGCCATCCTTGCATAGGTGTCCTTGATCTTGTCAAGGACCGGCTTCACATCGTCCCCTGGTCGCATGGAGATGGCAGCAAGTTCCTTCTCGAGCACGATCACCATCGGGAGAGTGTTGGGCTGAACCACATCACGTAGTAGTTTCCACGCCCTTGGACCCGAATCATCCGCTTCCACAAGATCCTTGATGTGCTCGAACATCTCCTTGTTGACCGATTGAAGAATGAGGTCGAAAAGCACCGCGCTTTTCTCAATCCACCGTTCACGTGCTTCGCCTTCTTCCGGCATCTTCTCTTCCCCAACAGCAATCTTCAGGAGCTTGTAGCGTTTGAAGGCACTCCTCATCCGTCCGCTCCATTCCTCATAGTTGGAGCCATCCAAAGCTTCAACTTTTGATGGCGGCGGCTCACTTGTCTTCTCAGCTACAGCTCCTCTTCCATTAGCATCTCCTCCTCTCTCATTCATCTTCTCCTTGAGAAATGACGAATTTCAGCTCCCCTTTGCTGTCCACACTCAGCTCCCTCGATATTTTCACAAGTGTCGGCGTCCACGAAATTTCGGCAGAGTTTCCCCTTAGCGGAAGACACATCCAACCTTTAGAACACCACTTAGGCACACCCACAGGCCATGGTGGGTCTAGAAGGGTCTTCACACTTCTGTAGACTCCTCTCAATGTCCTTAATATCGCTCTGATGCCACTTGTTAGAATTAAGGACAGAGTCTAGGTGAACTTAGGAGCTAGAATTACTCAAAATATAAATCCGAAATTCTGGACAGAAAAGTCGTCTTCACAAGAAACGACGTCGACAAAACACTAGCCGTTGGAATGTCGCGAAACTTGGATATGTTGTAGCTCTTGATCTCAGCTACCGTTCCCAATTTGAATCACGTTGATTGATGAAGTATTCGCGACGCTATGGCTTTCGACGCACTAGGGGGTAAGCTGTAGGAGGAGAACTTAACTCAATCTCAAGAGTTCAATCAAAGTTCAAGAATCTCACAAGGAATTAGAAGGAGCAAGAGAAAGGTTGGGATAGAAAGAGAGGGACGAGAGGGAAGGTCCCAAGAGAGTCCCCAACCAAGGAAACCCCATAAGCACAAAGATTCCCTCCCTATAGGAACCTCAACTTTGACCTTTGTCCCTTCCCAACCAATCCATCCAAGTTGGCCACCCTTGCCAACCTAGCTTGGTTGTTCCCAACCAATTTGCAGCTGTTACAGTAGAGTGACAAATTTCCCCAACCCCAAAGGTCCCAACTCCATATAGAGTCACCCCACAACTTCACTTTGTAACCGCCGCAATTGTAACGCAAGCTCATGAACTTTGAATCTTCATAGCTTTCGCGTTCTTGCTCCGATTGAAGCGATTCTTGTTGCGTCGGAAAGATCTTCTCAAGATCTATCATCAAAATACCTGCTCAAACAAAAATAACACAGAACACATTCCCAAACTCCAGAACACACCACACACAAATTCTTTCACATTCAAACCACACATGCAAGTTGAAAACATGGGATGGGAGGCAGACAGAATGTGATAGCATATGATGACATCACACAACAACCCTGATATTCTTCCCAAACAGTCGAGACTTCTTCAACTGATGCACTGTCACTAGACTCGCGGATTTTAACATGATTCTAACAATGAAAGGATGCTCAATCGACCGTGCTCGGTTACCCTAAGTTTCGTGGCGGGTATGCTAGATTTTGCCACTCTATACGTGATTTCACCCTACTCTGATTCGACGAAAACAACCCATGATAAGCCGGGACCATTCAAGTAATGGCATCTTTGGACACCCCTCGGCTTGGCTAGTCTCAGAGATTACATTCAATCTGAATTCGTGCACAATACTTATGCATACGCTCAAATACTTCGCAATTTTCCTTGTGCTCACCCCCTTATGCAAAATGGTGGGTCAAGGAAGAGTGCAAGAAGCTTCATGCAAAGGTCTGCACTAACCACATAGATAACATGCCTAGGAGGGTGTGGATGGTGATCAACGCCAAGAGTAGGTGGACTAGGTACTAGAAACGTTGTTCGGAAGTTTGCTCTTTGTCCTGGGAAAAAACTGTCCGGATGTACTCGTTGTATATCTTTTGGAGTATGAGTTAGATCCAATGTACTATTCTAGTTCTTAGTGCTGTGAACGCATCCACTTTGTGCCTCTCCCAACATGTACCACCGTGCATCTTGCAGGTTTACCATACAGTAGTCTCAAAGCCTAAAAACCCAACTTATTGCCAAACATCCGGACGGTTTTTTCCCTCAGTGTATGATCCGGACACACTAGAAGCGTCAGCATACAGAGAATGCAAGGCAGAATTATTATGATCCATGTCTAAAAAAAAAACATGCACACCATGGCGCAGCAGACTAGGCCAGTCAGGGAGGTCCGGGGCCGGGCCGAACCGGCAACGGAAGAGGTCTTTGAGGCGGCGGAAGCAGCGGGCGGTCGGGTGCCGGCGGTGGCACACACTGCCACAGAGAGGCCGGGTCTGGAGCTGGTACTGGCAGCCCACAACACCAAAGCCGCTGGTAGACGCCGAGCTGCGAGGACCACCACCGCGACCACCACCTATAGGGGCTCCTGGCCACTCCGGAGGGAGGCGGGCCCACGGCTGCTGCTGCTGCTACTGCGACTGCTGCTTTGGCTGCGACTGCTGCTGCTACTACCGCATCTGCTGTTGCGTCTGCTACGGTTGCTGCTACTCCTGAACACCGTCCCCGGCCCCCTCGTCAGAACCACTGTCTCCGCCACCACCAGCACCACAACCACGCCCTCCCTTGGGGCCACGGCGGCCCCGACACTGTCGCTGCATCTGTGGGAAGGCCGCCACTGCGGTCTCAGTGGCAGGAGCAGCTGTAGCGACAGCGGCGGAAACGTTAGTGGGAGGGAGCACAGCCCTGAAAGATAGGGACCGCTGCAACACCGCTCGACTGAGCAATAGTGTGCTGGCGAGTCTCTATCTCAGAAAGGGCAGTGACAAAGGCGGTCAGGGTGAGGTCACCAGGATGCTGACTAAGGAAGTGGTTACGGGCAGTGGCTAAGCGGTCAGGCAGGCGCATGGCAATAAGGTACATGGTAGCGCAGAACGGCGGGGGGAAGGCAGTGAGCTAGGCGGGAGTGCTAGCAGCGTGGTAGCTAGTCTCTAGTGCACGGAGGTGATTAGCGAGGTCAGTGACAGTGGGGATGGCATAAAGATCAGGGAATAGCATGGGGAGGATCAAGTGGTCAGCAGAGGCAGAGGCAGGTGTGGAGTAGCGTGCGATTACGTTATCTAGGAAATCCTTAGCGTTCGCGACAGCAGTTAAGCGTGGATGCTCAGACAGGGGAAGCGCATGACTAATAGCAACCTGCGCTACAGCATCGCGAGAGTCCCAAACAGCGCGAGCGAGCATAGCCGCAGCGAAGGCCTCACTCTCCGCAGTGGTGGGGTCAGCAGGGAGGGGATCAGGCGCGGAGCAGCGCGGAAGCAAGCCATCAACATGCATAGCCAGGGAGTGCCCATCCTGGCGCTGACCTGTCAGGTGACGGTGAAGATCGACAAGCCAGGCGGCGAAGTCGATCGCGTGTCCCTCCGTGTCCAAGCGAAGCACAACGTCCGCTATCGTGCAACCTCCGCAGCATAGCGTTACGGCGGCACGGCAGCACAGCGGCACGGCGACACAGTGGCAGGACTCCCCGGCGAGAAGACCACGCGGAAGGTCGAGGAGGGGCCCGAGGCACGTGAGGGGCGAGCGGGCATGGTAGGGACCGGCGCGCGCGAAGGGCTGGCGAGCAAGTGAGGGGCCGGTGGGCGCTTGAGAGGCCGGCGCGCGCGAAGGGGCCGACAAGTGCGTGAGGGGCCGACGAGCACGCGGAGGGCCGGCGGGTGCGTGAGGGGCCGGCGAGCACGAAGGGCCGGCGAGGCGCCGAGTGGGCTGGGCGGGTGCGTGAGGGGCCAGCTAGGCGTTAGGGGCCGGCGGTGTGCGAGAGGGGCCGGCTAGGTACGAGGGGCCGGCACAGCACAGCGCAGGGCCGGCTAGGCGCGAGGGGCCGGCTAGGCGAGAGGGGCCGGCTAGGTGCGAGGGGCCAGCTAGACGAAAAGGGGGGGACCGGCGAGGTGTGAGGGGCCAGCTCGGCGAGTGAGCCCATGACGGCGCGAGGGGCCGTCACGGCGCGCTAGGGGCCGGCTAGGCGCGAGGTGCCAGGGGGCCACTAAGGGGCCGGCACGGCACGTAAGGGACGGCGGCCACGCTAGGGGCCGGCGAGGTGCGCTAGGGGGCCGGCTATACGCTAGGGGTCGGTGGGCGCGCTAGGGGCCGGCGGTACACTAGGGGCCGGCGGGAGCACTAGGGGCCGGCGGGGTGGTAGGCTAGGGCTAGGGGCGGAAGCGAGTGGGCGGACCTAACCTACTCATGATACCATGTTAGAATACAGGAATGACTAGAGCAAGAGAGTACAGGGGAGATATAGGGTTGGAGTTGTAATCTTTACGAACACAAGTACAGTATATTTAGCCTATAACTTCAACATATAACCATATGTATAAGTTGACAACAGTACTACTTACTCCAGTTAAATTATATATTATATATATAATTGTAGGCTTGGTAGTTGTGCTACTTACAGAATCCTGCTGTAGAGGGGTCTACCCCCCCTTCTTGTATCTCCTTCTCTTCTTGTCCAACTTTTCTTCTCTCTCGTAACTTTTCCTAGCACCTAAAACCTCTCGCCATTCCATGGCTCCTCTTCTCTAGCTACCTAGCTATCTCAACATGGTAACAGAGCAAGTTCAACCTGCTGTACCTTCTTCTCTCGCTTCCGTTGCGCAATCTTCCTCTCTCTCTCTCTCTCTCTCTCTCTCTCTCTCTCTCTCTCTCTCTCTCTCTCTCTCTCTCTCTCTCTCTCTCTCTCCCTCTCTCTCTCTCTCTCTCTCTCTCTCTCTCTCTCTCTCTCTCTCTCTCTCTCTCTCTCTCTCTCTCTCTCTCTCTCTCTCTCTTGCGTTGCCATGGCGGCCGCGTCGTGCTGTTGTGGCAGCGTCGTCGTGCCACCGGCCGCGTCGTGCTGCCGCGGCGGTTTCGACGCTGCCGCAATTGGCAGCCTCATCGCGTTTTCGTGGCGTCGACGTCCAGCCGTGGCGGCGTCGTCGTGCTGTCGCAGCAGCGTCGACGCACCAGCGCACGAGCGGCAGCGGGCTGCGCACTGTGTTAGCCGCATTCAGCCCGCCCGCATGCCAGTAAGCGCCGGGCCAGCCATGGCGCCACGCTGATGATCCGCCCCCCACCCCTTCCCCCTTCCCCTCCTCTGCCTTTCCCTTCCTCTCCGCTGCAGCTGCTGGCGACCTCGTGCCGTCCTCCCCCTCGTCGTCGCAGGTTGAGCCACGCCGCCGTTGCCTCGAGTGCCGCAGCCGCCGTCGCCAGGTGCCTCGAGCCGCCGCCGCCACCGCAGGTGCTGCACGCCCTGCCGTCGCCACCGCCGTAGTCGCCGACGCCGCCGCCGCAGCTGCGACCCGCCGTCGACGTTGCCACCTTGATTGCCGAGGGGTCGACCGTCTGGTCGACGCCACAGCTGCTGCAGGGAATGGGGGTGCAAGTATGTGGGGGTGCTGGGGGTGGGATGGGCTTGCCACTACCAAGCCTAGGGGGTGTGTTATATTATATATTATATATATAATTGTAGGCTTGGTAGTTGTGCTACTTACTGAATCCTACTATAGAGGGGACTACCCCCCTTCTTGTATCTCCTTCTCTTCTAGTCCAACTTCTCTTCTCTCTCGTAACTTTTCCTAGCACCTAAAACCTCTCGCCATTCCATGGCTCCTCTTCCCTAGCTACCTAGCTATCTCAACACCTCCGACGGTTGACGCACGTTGACGACACCTCACGGAGGTTACGAAAGGGCAACGGTCGCAGACTGCCGACCTCGCAACCAGGGACTAAGATTGGTTTCGAGGCACCCCGATTGCTCAGCCTCCCCCCCCCTATGTAGTCTGATTTTTCAAGGCCTCCCACCAAAACTTTTCTGAATTTCCAGGGTTCTATAGAAATTTCCGCTTAGCAATCAGGGTATTCACCGCTGAACACTTTTCCCTAGATATTTCCCTTTTTTGCGCACTTTGGCATGCTTCATATCAGAAAGTATTTTGATGGAACATCACGTCACAGACCAATCCCATTGGTTGGCCGAAACGAGATAGCAGGGGCGCAAGAGGGGAATCTCACTCGCCCTCACACAAAGCCCCTCAGGGCACACACCGGGCCGTAAATCTGGCTAAGGGCCCGCTGTCAACAAATATATTTATATAGCTTTGTTAAAGAAGCTAGGAAGCTAGGTAGGTAGAGAAGCCATGGAAATGGCGTGAGGTTTTAGGTGGGAGAAATTGACGAGAGAAAAGAGAGGTATGATTAGGAGAGAGAAGAATACAAGAAGGGGGGTTGTACCCTCTACAGTAGGATCCAGTAACACCTATCAAGCCTATAATTTTATATATAATATATAATTTAACAAGCTTAGCTAGGTCATATTTGTTTATTGTCAAATATAGCTAGCTAGGAAGAGGAGCCATGGAATGGCGTGAGGTTTTAGGTGCTAGGATAGGAGAAAGTTGACGAGAGAAAAGAGGGCTTGGACTAGAAGTGAGAGGGATACAAGAAGGGGGGTTGTACCCTCTACAGTAAGATCCAATAACACCTACCAAGCCTACCATTATATATATATCAAATATATAGTTAACATTTATAGCCTAACTAGTTTAAATCTTAGTGAGTACAGCCCTTGTTTTGTATCCCTCGACATTTTCCCTGAGCCACAACGTTTCCCGCTACTCTAACATGGTATTGAGCAAGGTTAGATTTTTTTTATTTTTTTTTCTCGCCGTTTCTCACGTTTCCGCCGTTACTCACGCTACCACCGTTACTCTAGCTTCTTATTTTTTGCACGCATGCACCTCTCTCAATTTTGCGCAATGTAGCCTTCCAATTTTGCGCACTGTAACCTTCCAATTTTGCGCAATGTAGCCTTCCAATTTCGCGCACTGTAACCTTCCAATTTCGCGCACTGTAGCCTAGACGCACTCCCCCCCTAGCATTCGCGCTGTTTCATACGGCAGCCAGCAGGCTGGCGAGCATGCCAGCAACACGCTAGCCAGCACGCTAGCCGACGCGCCAGCCAATGCACCGGCCGGCTTGCTAGCCAGCACGCCCGCCAACATGCTAGCCAGCACGCCAGTCAACGCGTCAGCCAACGCACCAACCAGCTAGCCATCACGTTAGTCAGCTAGCTAGCCAGCGCATTAGCTAGCACGCCGCCAGCAGTGCTAGCCAAATCGCCGCTAGCAGCTCCAGTCAGCTAGCAGCCAGCAGCGTCCGCCAGCACCTCCTGCCATCTACTAGCCCGCAGCGCCTGCTAGCTCGTCACTGGCCAGCTTGCTGCTGCACCAGCCATTGCCACTGCAGCAACTGCCTCTGCCTCTGCAGCCACTGCCTCTGCTGCCACTGCCACAGCAGCAGCAGCAGCAGCGGCGGCGGCAGCGGCAGCAGCCGTAGTGGGCTCTTGGGGGTGCTGGGCGAGGTGGAGGCTATAGAGGTGCGGCCTCGAGGCGGTCACTGTCCTGGGGCCAGTGTGGTTTCTCTAGAGGACCAGGGGCCTTGGGTCCTAGGGGTCTAGGTCCCACCACTGTGTCTTGTCTAGGAGCCTCTACTCCGTGTCCCCTACACTCCTCCTCTGCCCCTCCTGAGCCGGCCCTCTCCTTTATCCTTGACTCGGGCGCGTCTCGTTGCTTCTTTAGAGACAGTATTGCTCTCACCCCGCTTCCTGCGCCTGTCCGCGTCGCACAAGCAGATTCCTCCACCACAGCTGTCGCACGTAGCACCACCACTCTCCCTTGACTAGCTGTCCCCTCCGGCTCCCTCATCGGTCTGCACATCTCGTCATTTGCCTGGAACCTAGTGGGTGTCGGTCACCTTCAGGACCGAGGCGTCACCACTACGTTCCCTGGCCGCGAGAGATACGCCGCCTGCACATACACAACCACAGGTCAGCACTTAGTCACATTTGAGCGTGACTCAGCGTCAAGTCTCTTTACACTCCACACCGAGTCCCCGCCGACAGCTGCGTCTGTCGCGGTTGCCGCGTCCTGCTCCTGTCATTCCATAGCTCAACCGACCCTTCTGTGGCACCACCGCTTAGGTCACCCTGCACTCCCGCGTCCTAGGCACATGTCCCAGCACGGTCTAGTCACTGGTCTCCCTGCGTCGTTTCCCCCCGTGCCTTCATCGATAGTGCCACTGTGCACGTCCTGTGTCGAGGGCCGGCAGCACGCCGCCCCTCACTCCTCCTCGTTTCCTCCTACCACAGCGCCGCTACAGACACTGCACATGGACGTATGGGGCCCTGCCCCGGTCCATGGTCTTAGTCAGGAGCGTTAATTTCTAGTCATCGTTGACGAATTCTCGCGCTTCATCACAGTGTTCCTATTGGAGCGGAAGGCCGACATGCCTGCCGTTCCCCCGCAAATGTTGATGCAAGGGGATAACTGCCGGCTGGTAATTATTATGAGAGGGAATGGAACAGTCAACTGAATTATAGAAATACAACCTAGGAATAGTGATTGTCCTGCAAGTGATGAGCGAACCGGCTAAAATAGGGCACGATCATGCTATGACGATCTAGGGCGAGAACCTCGGGACATATGGTTGGATTGACGGGTGGCGAGGGTCTCGAAACGTGACTCGGGGAGGTTTGGGCCGACAATATAGGCCGAACCTGCAAGGTCGAGGTCTTCGAGTGTACGCGCTGTAATTTAGCGCAGTAAGGGATTGTAATTCCTTACTCACTTACCTTCTAAATAGTGACCCCTCTCTCTAGTTGGGCCCATCTAGAAGCGAATATTTTGCTTCGCGCCGAGCAGTAGCCTGGATATTTTAGCTTGCCTTGGGCCACGAAATCGAATTGCACCTGCGACTGGAATGTTATCGTAACATATCGTACAACCACTGACATGCGCAGACAATAATTTCGACCAATCGGCAACCAGCCTTGGTTTAGCAGGAGTTGTGGTGAACCCGGGTTCAACTTGAAATTCAAGTTGGGCCCACTTGGTTCAACTTGCGAGCAGTGGGGACTGTGCGACTGGTCACGCGCTATTTGCGACTTGAGTTTGTTCGCGCCAAGTATTGCTCATGCCACGTTTCCCACCAAACGGAACGGGGTTTCCCACCAACCAATCAAGTAACTGCTCATGCTCGTGCAGTTTACTCTGCTCGCATGTCTCAATAGTGAACCCCTCTGCCCCAACCAGTTTGTCCCTTAGTCGCTACGACGAACTTCTGGGCCCTTTCAAGTTGGACCCGCCTTCATTATTTTGACCACTCGCTTTAATAATCCTATCGCGAGTGTGTCTCTAGGTCTTGAAAATCTTTCTGGCGAGCGTAACGATTACGCTGTTCTGATGAATATTGGGTGAGCCGAATCCGACGGCTGAAATTGGTCGAGATATATCTTGAATGTTGACCGATTATCACGAGTCGGCATTGCCGGTGGCGAAGTTGATCTGGTGGATATGTCCAGATCGAACGGCTGTTGATGACTTTAATCTGGTGGGGTAATGCTGGATGGCAGAGACCGTAGGATGTTGCACTATCACGGGGTTGTCATCATTCTGTTTGTCTTGAAATATCGAAAGTAACCGTGGCCGTAAATATTGACTGGTAATCAGATGATCGAGAGATGTCGAAACGATCGCAGTTAATCTCAGCCGTTGAATTTGGTCGATTATTCGGCTGACCAAACTGGGCAGTGGTGGAATGGAAACTCTTGCGGGTGATTACCAGTGATGTTGTAAGCTGTCAGTTGGCAATGATGAGATCGGGGCAGGAAGGCGACGAGTGGCGGAATAATAAAATCGGAGAGTTTCCTCTAGCTTCGCCCTGCTCAGGCATAGTTCACCATCTTTTGGGTCCCAACGCGACTACTCAACGCACCCCGGGCGCCGAGGCCCCCGGGGCGGTCCGTGGTGCGGGCAGCACGAGGCCGCCTTCTCACGGGTCGCTTTCACTGTCGCCATTGTGGTTTCCAACCCATTGGCTCGCAGCCGCGTTGGCCTCCTTGGTCTGTGTTTCAAGACGGGTCGCATCAGCCCGTTTCGCCAGCGCCGACCCGTGAGGGTCATCCTCGGTCTCCGCCGCGGTGGGAGCGAGCTCCTTTTCCCGCGGCATCAACTGGCGCTGCGTACCTCCGGGCCCCGCGCGTACGGGGCCCGCAGGTCTGCTTGGGCTCATGCGCTTATCCTCCTGACGATTTCAAGCACTTTTTACTCTCTTTCCAAAGTTCTTTTCATCTTTCCCTCACGGTACTTGTTCGCTATCGGAAACCTGGCCGTATTTAGCCTTGGATGGAGCTTACCACCCATGTTGGGGCTGCACTCCCAAGCAACCCGACTCTTCGGATGCGTCTCGTGGAGTGACGGGTCGTCGCCCGACGGGGGTGTCACCCTCTCTGCCGCCACTTTCCAGTGGACTTAAGGCGGCGCCCGTCACAGAGAACGCTTCCTTTTCAGACTACAATTCGGAGGGCCGGGGGCCCTCAGATTTCAAGCCTGGGCTTTTCCTTGGTCGCTCGCCGCTACCAAAGGAATCACGGTTGTTTTCTTTTCCTCCGCTTAGTAATATGCTTAAATTCAGCGGGTGGTCTCGCCTGACTTGAAGCCATCGTTTGGGGTTTGCTCGGTTCCTCCCCGTCCTACCATTTTTGTACGAGCCCCGTCCGCCTCTCGCCCGTTCTTGTGCACTACTTTGGAGGGGGAGGCCGGGGGTTGCCACGCCCCCGGCTCCTGAACCTTTTCGCGACCGTCTCGGAAGAGAAAGAGGGACCGAGTGACCGGCCCCCCCACCTGCTGGGAGGTCCGGACGGAGTCCGTTGGCCGGCTGGGTTCGCCGAGCCCAGCGGGGTCGCCGCCCGCCTCATCTCGCTCGTCCCACTTGCGTCCTCCCGGGTGGCGCCCGGGGATCTGCACCGGGGTCAAGAGGAGCGGAGACGGGCTAATGCGGCCCTGCGATTTCAACCGACTGCCCCCCAATTGTGCCCCGGAGCGCACGGGTTGCGACGGCCATCTCGTTTTCCCAGGTACGAGCGATTGTCTCGGAGAAAGGGGGGGGCCGGAGCCCACACCAACCCGAGCGCCCCTTGTCTGCCCCGCATTGCTTTCCCGTCCCGTTTCCTCTGCCGCACTTAGCTGTGTGTGGAGGGGTGGGTTCGGATGCGAGGTTCCACCTGGATGTGTGTGGCGTTCAAGCAGATGTGCCCTCGGCCGAGGCCTCGGGCGCAACATGCGTTCAAAGTTTCAATGATTCACGGAGGTTTGCAATTCGCATTACGTATCGCATTTTGCTGCGTTCTTCATCGAGCCAGGTTCCAAGATATCCATCGTCAGGAGTGGGGTCCCTGTTTTTATTGGGTGCCGGGGCCCGTGGGCGCCCCGCTCAAGGGAGGGTTTTTGCGACCGGACGGCCAGTTCCGGTTGCGGAGAGGTTTGTATTCCGCCTCTGCCCGCAGCTCCTTGATGCACTGCGAGCGGGACGGTTGGGGGTAGCAAAAGGGTCCCTTTGCCATCACCGCGGGCGCCCCTTCCCGAGCCTTCCTAGAGGAATTCAGAAGGCCGGGCGAGCAAGACCCCGCAGTCACACCGCCGATGCCAAGAGATACCGAGCACCGGTGGCGGGGGACGCTGGATTGGGAGGAGGAGCGTCGGAAGGAAAGGTGTTCAGAGGATACTCGAGGTCAGGCCCCGGGCTTCCCTCGCTTGCGCTTGGTAGGCCCGAGCTGTTTCCATCAGGGCTGGGGAGTTTTTTTTTTGTCCGCATGGACGCCCGGTGCCAAGTGGGCCATTTTTTGTCCAGCCGAACCCAGGGTCACATGACTTCAGCTACTCTGTCCGTACACGCGGAAAATTTCGGAAAGAGCCGAAAATAGCTGCTGCTCTCCTCCCGCGCCATGGAACGGAACTACTCCGCAAATGTAGGTCGATGTTGTTCGCACCCCTGGATATAGCGAGCACCACTCCAGCTGCAAAACCTTGAACTGCTTCACTTATTCTTCTAGCGAAAATGTCGGAACTCTCCTGCGACTTAGCAAATCCCGCAACTTAGCTTCACGGCTACTCAGGTACCCCCAAACTTCAGGTTCTTAACAGTTGCGCTGCTGGTTTTCAAAGAATTTCCCATCTGCTTCCGGACGCTTTTTGTAGCGCGCCGACGTTCACCCATCTTTGCGCTCGCCATGCCACCAAACAGGTCCTAGGCATTATCACGCGTCATAGCCAATGTAAATCAGGGTCAACTCCCTCCACTTAGCCGCACTCTGAAAACTTCGGATACAGTGTCGAGCTCCAGCTGCAACAATGTCATTTTCAAATATCTCTTCACATCTTCCTCGACTTCTTCGACAGGTCGTCGTTCACCCGACTTCCCGCTTCTGTCGGTAAGTATATAGCTTAAAAACTGTAATATAGGGCAGGACAGAGCAAAGGCTATCGCGCACGGCTTTAGTCGGTGGAGCTAAAATATTAACTCCCAGCCAACTGCTGCGCAACCGTACTAGTCCCCTCTGTCACCACAAATTACCGAAGTTTTTTTTTTTTTTTTTTTTTTTTTTTTTTTTTTTTTTCAAGCTGGTCAAGGTGGCCCGGACGGAGCATAAGCCAGTGCACACTCTATTAATCACCAAAGTGAGCTGTGCAGCCATGCTAATCCCCTTGGACGAACACAATCTCCAGGCCAGCTCCCCAAATCTTCGCCAGCACGAAGGAAGTTCCAGCTTTAACCTCCGTTACGGACCTCGAAGGTGAAATGACCCCATAAATCACCACTTCTCCCAGGTGGAGGCTGTTGTAAGTCGGTGGAAAGGGCGCTTCGTCAGCCGGTGGCCAAACAACAACTGACGCGCGACAGAATCCGCAGTCCTGAACTTCCCCTCCGCCGCAACCTCTTTTCTTCTAGAATTCGAAAACTTCGGCCTTGCAGTGACCCAGGGAGACGCGCACGACGGACCCGTCCCTAATTTCTTTTGCAACATCCATGGGCTGCGCCCCATGTTCCTTTAATCTTGAAGCCCTAATCTTCGTTTCTCGGGCTGGTTTCCCCATCAGGAAACTTTTGCCCGGCATGCAGGTACAGTGTCGGCAGGTTGCAGACCACGCGTAAAGCCTGACTGCAATCCAGCTGCCAACTGGTTGAGATTTGTCGCTGACGTCCCAGTGCCATCTTGGTGCTGTACGAATGATGGTCGCCGAAGTTTGAGGTCGCGCCGATCCACTGCCGTTGTCCCATCGCCGAAGTTACTGGAGCGCGACGACACACCAAGACCCCTCCGAGATTGCCGGTTTGCACATGAAATAGAGCGCCGACGAATTCTTCGCGTCTCTTGCTCCCAGCGCTTTCCCGCGTACACTTATGATGCCACGTGCGCCTAGCGAGCTCCAAAATCTTCGCACGGAGTTGGGCGAGCCTTTGTTTTTTTCGTCAAACTGCTGATGACGCCAACTGGCGAGCCGCTTGAAGATTTCCCGCCACATGACGACGACGCCATGCTGTCACACAAAACGAACGTAGTTAATGCATAATTCACCAACTGACGTAACGAATTAATGTCGTGATAGCCACAGCTGTCCGTTCCTAGGGGGAGGGAGGACCCGACCAAATCCTGGCCGTCCAAAGGCAGGGGACTGGTGACAAAGGGAGCGCACACGCCTTAGTCGGATGAGCTAACAAATTAGCTCCGAGCCAACCGCTGTGCAGCCCCACAGCCCACCAGCCATCCGTCCTTTCCCAACACCCCGAAAGGAAAATTCTCAAGCAGGCGGAAAGTGGCTCTGAATGCCAAGTGTTATGCGAGGGAGTGGAACAGTCAGCTGAATAATGGAAATGCATGTCGTATTCTCGTAATGCAAACTCCAAGAATTTTGGAAGGAGGCACTTAGCGCATACCCGGGCAAATTTGCTTGTAGCGTTCCCAAGAATGTAAGTGCGATGTCATATGCGCAGGTGGCAGGGGTGGGGACGCTATCGTATGCGCAGGTGACAAGGGTGGGGACGCTGCCGTTAGCTGCGATAGGGTCCACGTAGGCATGTCGCGAGGTGTTCGCATGGCGTGTCCTCTCTAGGTTTCAGATGCTCATGCTAATTGATGTGTTGCCACAAGAACAAAAAAATATTTGACTCCTAACCGTCAATTGATTCGACTACAAACAGATACGAAATTATATGAAGTTGGAAATACCAAATAATTGTCAAGATGCTAGGTTAGGAGCTAGGAGGTATGCACAGGAAAGTAGCGTAAGGTTTTAGGCTAGGAGGTAAAATGTCGAGAGAGAAGAGAGCTGGACTAGACGAGAGAGGGATACAAGAAGATATATATGTATATATATATGTGTGTGTGTGTGTGTGTGTGTGTGTGTGTGTTGACACACCCCCTAGGCTTGGTAGGTGATACGCAGAGAATAGACCAGGGAAGTACTACTAGCCTGTCCAGTGGTTTTAGTAGTAATGCAGGTAAAAAAAAAACACACCACGCACACAGCACACTAAGCCACACACCCCCTAAGCCTAGCACCCCCATACTCAGCAGCAGCGACGGCTTCTCTAGCATGGTCGACCCCTCGGCGTGCGAGGCGGCGACGTCGACAGCGAGGGCAGCGGCTGCAACGGCGGCGACGGCGGCAGCGTGGATAGCGGCGGCGGCGGCGGCGTGGTCAATGGCACCAGCTGCGGCGGTGGCGGCTTCGACGACAGCTGCGGCAGCGGCGGAGCTCGCAGCACTCGGCGGCGTGGCCGGGCTCCGCGACGGTGGGAAGGCCAGCGCGAGTCAGCCGTCGGCTGCGGTGAGGAAGATGGGATGCAGGGGAAGGGGGCGGGGCTTCATCAGCGGAGCCAGGGAGCATGCCGCCCCGTGTGGCGCGCTGGCTGCATGCGGGCGTGCTGGCCAGCGCTAAGACCGGCTGCTGGCCGCTGCCGTCCATGCGCTGGCGCGTAGACGCCGCCACGGCAGCATGACGACGCCGTCATAGCAGCACGATATGGTCGTGGCGGCGGCGCGGAAAGGACAGGAGGGAGGAACGGACTTTGCGGACGCATGATGAGCAGACGGACCTTCTCTGATACCATGTCAAGATGCTAGTTTAGGAGCTATAAGATAGGCATAGGGAAGTAGCGTGAGGTTTTAGGCTAGGAGGTAAAATGTCGAGAGAGAAGAGGGTTGGAATAGAAGAGAGAAGGATACAAGAAGGGGGTTGTACCCTCTACAGTAGGATCCAGGATATGCAATACACCTACCTAGCCTATACGCATATATATATGATATATATGTTGACTATAATAATGTAAAACAAGGATTAACAACATAAGAGTTTCAAAATAACAGCACACGTTGACGAGGAGGAGTACGTGACAGAATCCGTCTGCGTTCCGTCTTTGCAGATGACGTGCTTCGATTGGCTATCGTGGTGTTTCCGCGTCAGCCCGTGAGTGGGTGGATCACATTGATGTGAGATTTTTTTGCATTTCTAGCACATTGAGATCGCTTGGCGTTGACATCGCAGGAGCGCATTGACGTGGATTAGACGATTTCGACTGGTGGCAACAAAAAATTCACATGCTGTCTGCACCTATTTCTATTGGCCGGGTTGCGTACGTGGGTGTTGCACCTACGGAATACTTGCACCTGCGAAAAAATTGCGCCTGTCGTCGTTGCACCAGTCGCATATGGTCTGTACAGACGATGTCCGCAAAGTGCCCTGCCCAAAACAAATCCCAATTGCCCCCCCCCGCCCAATAGCAGAAGTTTACGGGCAGTATCCGTTTCGAGAGAGTCCCCCGCGCCGGCTACTGCGGGGATGAACATGCGGACAGCGACGAAGCAGTTGCAGCCTTCTGGTTTTCGCCACATATTTTCGCCCGGCGTCGCGAGGGCGGTTCGTCCAGGCTCAAATGGCCTTTCGCGTTTTTCGCGAAGCCGCGAAGGACACGAGCGCAATGGAAATCAACGGAACACCGCAAACGGGAAACGCCTCGATGACTCAGCATGGCATGACCCCTTGGCAACTGACTGAACTAGAGCCCTATTCGGTCGAAACAACTGCACACTTATCGAAGCTGCACAAATTGTGAGCAAATGTCATGTTCGTGACCTATTGGTTGAGCTAATAAAACAGCACTTGGGGTTGTTTCTGTTCGTCACAGTGCAAAACAGCGTAACCGTGGTTACATACGCAATCTGAACTCTGCCACCCAACCTTCCCCCATTGCGACAAAAAAGTTACCAACGAGCTCACCCTGAATCCCTCGCTTCTAGCAGCGAAATACCAAATCGACAGAAGCCCCCGCGGCTCGAAAAAGTGGCGTTCCTCTCTCGGGCTCAGGCTGTACAACCTCAGGCGAACTGTCTAAAATAGGGTTCGATGCAGGGCTTATTTTTTATGGACAATTACCCGGATTTTTGCAAAATAGCGGGTGCTTTTTTCCCACACTCGGAATCTGACGTGTTCAGATTTTATAAACCCTGATTCTGACGGGAGTCTTCTGACTTGTACCCGTGAAGTGATGTGTAAGGTATGCCAAGTACACTTATTTGGCGGGTACGATTTTCGAAAACCCGAATTCTAGCGGTTGCGAACCCCCCTCCCCCCCCCACCTCTACCCCTCTGAGGGAGAGGGAGAGTTGCTGTCGCGACTCAAGAACAAGCCTCCAGGTGAGTTATGTCAAGTACAAGTGCTGGTTCTCATCCTTAGGCATTACAGATTGAAATTTGTTCACGCTCGCTCTCAGCTGTCTAGTTCCGCCAAGTGTTTTAGCTTGAGCAGGTGTCTCCGAATCTGTAGCAAGATGCCCATGTTCACTTTGAGCACATGCTGAAAGGTAGGTGTCATAGCAAGTAGATGAGGTCGGTGTGTTAGTCTGTTTTCGTGCTGAACATTATATCTGGTCGTACCCCTAGGTTCTTTTTGTTTTCTGTCAATCAAGGCTTATTCACATAAAACCACGCATTTCGACATTACGAAAAACAAATACCCGGAATCTGACGTGTATATTTTTCACATACCCGTATTCTAACGGGTGACTCTTAACAAATACCCGTGCTAGTCCGGGTCGCGAGGGAGCAGAACCCGGATCTGACGTGTAGGCAAAAACCCTAAGGTAAGCCCTGGTTCGATGGTTGTATGACGAGCTAGGGCGAGAACCTCGGGACGTGAGTTTGGTTTGACGGGTGGCGAGGGTCTCGGAACGCGACTCGGAGAGGTTTGGGCCAAAAATATAGGCCGAACCTGCAAGGTCGATGTCTTCGGGTGTACGCGCTGTAATTTAGCGCAGTTAGGAATTGTAATTCAAACCACGAAATGCTCACCCCTCGAACCACCAGGTTTCTAACTTTCAGTTCACGTAAATTTTGAACAGCCCGACTTGATTCTCGGGTCCGGTTTGGCCAGACCTTCTGCTCCTCGATTCTTGTTTGTGCAACAAAGCTGCATCGCCCTGCGAGCGACCACGAGCTCTTATCTTATCACATCCATTCCTATCACACTCACAGCATTGTTGAAGCTGACTGCAGAGAAGTTGCTCTGGTGAGAGCCACTTCACAGTTTTGGGTCGGGGCGTCGCCAATTTCCTCAGCAGTAAGAACGACGTATGCGTTCCTTCGTCGGCCGATAGCTTTCGCATTTGCGACAGCATCAAGGAGCCGATTGCAAATACCCTCCCCGTGCAGCCTCCAACGGTCAACAAACCATTCGCTGGGCCTGCCTGGTTTGCGTACCTACCACGGCTCAGGCCCCTTCCGCTGTAGTCCGCACGCGCCATAGATGCCTCGCGCCGCTTCCTTCTCCTCGTAAACACAACGCACTAAAGCGACGCATCTATTTGACGGTCGCCTTCGCGTGGGTGGGTGTTTGGGTGGGCGGAACGCGGCACGCGGCAAGCGACATGGGCATCGCGGTGGAACGGCTGCTGGAGCAGAACCGCGTCCCGGAGGAGCTCTTCTGCCCCATCTGCAACGACCTCATCGACCCCGCTGACGCCACCGAGGTGCGACCGCGCACCGCGCACCGCAGTCCAACGGACCAACGGACCACGGACCACGGACCACTTACCACCCACTGACTCGCAGCCTCGCTGCCTCGCTACCTTAGAGCATCACAGGCGACAGGCTCTGCGAGGCAACACGGGGATCAACCAGAGTTTCGCAGAGCCCTGGCCACGCGTCCAGACTTTACAGTGTGACCAGGTTGGCCACCCACAGGGGCATGGACCCTGCAGGCTTGACGAGACTTGTATTTGAGGCGCCTCAAAATTACACGCGTCCAGACTCTAGAGTGTGACCAGGCTGGCCAATGGCCATCCGCAGGGGCATGGGCCCTGCAGGCTTGACGAGACTTGAGCGCGGGGTGGAAGGTAGCCGTGTGGGTATTTCTGAGTCGCCCCTCTTTTAATTTATATTTTCTTTGTCGGTTGATTGTCGACCAAGGGTTGCCGATACTTGAGTGCGAGGTGATGGGTACCCATATATTGTGGGGAGGTGGAAGGAGAAGCGCGGAGGGTGGGGGTGTGGGGGATGTGGGGGGAAAAAGAGAGTAATGATGTTTGTGCTTGTTAGGAACGCGGATGCGTGTGGTTTACGCAATTGTCAATCTGCGCGCGGATCTATTTCCTAACCTTGCCAGTGGTTTGCCATTCGCGCGGACCTAGTATATTCCAAATCTCTTACTATCTGGCATGGCTTGGCATATCACGGCATGATATGGCATGGCATGGCATGGCACGATATGGCATGTCATGGCACGATATGGCATGTCATGGCACGATATGGCATGGCATGACACGATATGGCGTGATGGCAGGTGACAAAATGCGGCCATGTGTTCTGTGGGACGTGCATCAACCAGGCCATGCAGCATTGCAGCGAATGCCCTCAGGCAAGAATGCTGAGGCGTGGTTTAGCAGGTTAGTTTTGAGACATCTCAGAAGAAGGCGCACATCAACCAGGCCATGCAGCATTGTAGCATCGCACCGAATGCCCCGGGGCAAGAGTGCCCCAGCGCCTCAAAGAACCACGGGCTGTCGCATGTGTTCCGCACCTCCAACCCTATCAGTGCCAACCAGCAGTGCTGGAAAACGCGAGAGAGTGCCGGGGATGGTGAAAGATTGTCCACTGTGTTTGGAATGTTTGAAACCTTGGGAATGTCGAAAGTGCCAAGTACATATCAGACTACGCGGTTCTCCTGCTTCCCTCACCCGTCTCGTCTTCCCTCCTTCCATCCTTCGTCCCCTCCCTCGTCCCCCCCCCCCTCGTTCCCCCTCGTTCCCCCTCGTTCCCCCTCGTTCCCCTCTTTCCCCCTCTTTCCCCCTCTTTCCCCCTCTTTCCCCCTCTTTCCCCCTCTTTCCCCCTCTTTCCCCCTCTTTCCCCCTCTTTCCGCCTCCTGCCCCCTCCTCCCCCCTCCCTTCCCTTCCCCTCCCCCCTCCTTCCCTTGTACGGGGCGCCAGGACCGGCAGCCAATACAGGTGTCGCATCTGCGCCTGGTGAAGGACCACAACCTCTTCGTCTACCGCCTGCTCGGCAGGTGAGCGCCGGTTCTTGAGGTGCCTCCAATAGCAACCTCTTCGTCTACCGCCTGCTCGACAGGTGAGCGAGCGCTCAGCACGGGGTGCAGTGCAGGGGGGGAGGTGAGGAGCTCAGAGGGGTGAAGGGAAGGGCGCTACGTCAGTATCGGAGGGTTACTTCTGAGTCGACTCAATGGTCGCTCCCCGTCCCCCTGCATCTGCTCCCCCTCCCGCTCTTTCTCTCTCCCTCCCCCCCCCCCACCGCCCTCCCTCATCTCCCCCCTAGTTCCAAGCGGCGTATGCACCATGCGCTGGGGCATGCGTGGACGAACGCAGCTAGTTCTGAGTCGACCCAAAGGTCGCTCCCCGTCCCCATCCCTCTCCTCCACCCCTTCTTCCCCCCCCCGCCCCCGCCCCCTGTGTCTCAGGTCCAAGGTGCGGTGTGTGCACCACGCGCTGGGGTGCACGTGGACGGGTGAGGTGTCGGAGGACCGCTCGCACCGCGCCACGTGTCCCAAGGAGCGCGTGGGGTGCACCCACTGCAGCGCCGTCGTCCGCCGCGACCAGTTCACCGCGCATGCTGCCGCCTGCCGGGCCTGCAGGGTGAGCCTGGCTGCTGATACATCCTCTTAGGCGCCTCAAATTCTTGTGGGATGCACCCACTGAACCCACTACAGCACCGTTCACCGCGCGACCAGTTCACCACGCTATCAGTTCACCGCGCATGCTGCTGCCTGTCAGGCCAGCAGGGTGAGCGGTTGCCAGAGCAGGGCGAGCGGTTGCCAGAGCAGGACGAGCCGTTTGTACAGCAGAGCGAGCGGATTGCACGGCTGTGTGAGCGGTTGCCAGGGCAGGAAAATCTGCTCTGAACTCTAATGGGGGTATCTCATCCCGCTCCGTCCCTTCTCGTGTCGTGTCGTGTCGTCTCGTCCTGCGACTTTTCACTCTATGTCCTCTCTGTGTCCCCTTCCCCTGTTTTTCTTCAACTTCCTTCCCTGCGAACATCTGCATGCAACCCTCATCAAAATGCACAGAGAATGCTTTTGAGCTGACTCACAAGCATCATTCTTTCTTACACACAGAGACTGCTGTTATTATTCTGTCATGACCTGTCTGCTCCCTCACACAAACCCAGCTCTCCTTGCGTGCAAAACCCACACGATATGCTACTGTAAATCTGTCACTCATACTTTTCCTGGGTTGTTTTCGTCCCCTCTCCTTCGTGTCCGGTCCCTGCGCCCTTTCTCTCTTGGCCCCTTTCTCCATCGGCAGAAATGCGCCGATAAGGATGCGCAGATTGCCACGCTGCTGCAGGAGAAGCTGGCGGTTTCCAAGAAGTTTCTGGAGGTGTCGGAGTCTCTGCGAGCCAAACAGGTGCGGCGTGCGCATGTGGGGAAGGGATGTGAGCGCCAAGGGATGAAATGAGGATGGAGGAACGAGGGATGAGAAGAGGCGAGAAGAGAAGATGCGAGAAGAGGCGAGGAGGGAGGGAAAAGGGGAGGCTGGTGGATGAGGTGTTTCCTTCATGCGTTGCTGTTACTATTCATGATTTGCTGTTACAATCATGCAATAATGCTGCAATCATGCAGTGTTGTTAGATCATGTGATGGCGTTATAATCATGTGATGTATCTTTCCTGTGATAATGTTACAAGCGTGTGATAATTCTACAAGCACATAACACAAGTTGTGTACCATCATGCTATGCTCTCACTAGCATGCGATTCTGTGGTGTTCTTTCCCTCATACAATTGTCCCACATACAATTGTCCCTCGTACAATCGTCCCTCGCACAATTGCCCCTCGCACAGTTGTCCCTCGTACAGTTGTCCCTCGTACAGTTGTCCCTCATACAGTTGTCCCTCATACAGTGGTCCCTTGTACAATCGTCCCTTGTACAATCGTCCCTTGCACAATCGTCCCTCGCACAGTTGTCCCTCGTACAATTGCCCCTCGTACAAATGTCCCTCGTACAGTTGTCCCTCGTACAATCGTCCCTCATACAATGGTCCCTCATACAATGGTCCCTCATACAACCGCCCCTCCTACAATCGTCCCGCATACAATCGTCCCTCATACAATTGTCCCGCATACAATCGTCCCTCATACAATTGTCCCTCATACAATTGTCCCTCATACAATTGTCCCTCATAAAATTGTCCCTCATACAATTGTCCCTCATACAATTGTCCCTCATACAATTGTCCCTCATACAATTGTCCCTCATACAATTGTCCCTCATACAATTGTCCCTCATACAATTGTCCCTCATACAATTGTCCCTCATACAATTGTCCCTCATACAATTGTCCCTCATACAATTGTCCCTCATACAATTGTCCCTCATACACTTGTCCCTCATACAATTGTCCCTCATACACTTGTCCCTCATACACTTGTCCCTCATACAGTTGTCCCTCATACAATTGTCCCTCATACAGTTGTCCCTCATACAATTGTCCCTCATACAGTTGTCCCTCATACAGTTGTCCCTCATACAATTGTCCCTCATACAGTTGTCCCTCATACAGTTGTCCCTCATACAGTTGTCCCTCATACAGTTGTCCCTCATACAGTTGTCCCTCATACAGTTGTCCCTCATACAATTGTCCCTCATACAGTTGTCCCTCATACAATTGTCCCTCATACAGTTGTCCCTCATACAATTGTCCCTCATACAGTTGTCCCTCATACAGTTGTCCCTCATACAGTTGTCCCTCATACAGTTGTCCCTCATACAATTGTCCCTCATACAGTTGTCCCTCATACAGTTGTCCCTCACACACTTGTCCCTCATACAGTTGTCCCTCATACAGCTGCCTCAATTCCATGTGTTGCTTGCCCCGCCTCCCCAGCTCTCTCTCATCTCTCCCCACCCCTATCTCAAATCACCGTCGCCTCACTGCCCTGTCCCACCTCTCCTCCTCTCTTTCCTCCCATAACTCCCATTGCGCCTCTGTCCTGGGCACTACCTACATGCACTATCCTCATTGCCTTTGCGGCACCCCGGCTCCCATAACCCCCAGCCGCCTCCCCCTCTCTCTCTGCTGACACTCCTCTTGCACCTCAGTACACCCACCCACCCCTCTTTCTCTTCTCTTCCGTCTCTTCCCCTTACCCCTACCCTTTGAGGGTAGCTCTTTTCCCTACCCTACCCCTACACCCCCCCCCCCCCCCCCCCCTCCCCCCCTCCCTTTTGGTTTTGTTTTGTTGTGTTTTTTTTTCCAGGCCCCTCCCCTGGTCCCCATCCAGTCCTGCTACCACTACAACATTCTCCCTCTCTTTCTCTCTCCCCCCACTACCCCTTCCCCACTCCCTCCCCACGTCCCCCCGTCTCCCCCAGGTCCCTCCCCTGGCGCCCGTCCAGTCCTACCACCGCTACAACATCCTCCCTCTCGTGCATCTCCTGTCTCTCTCTCCTCCCACAACCGGATTCCCTCCCCACGGGCCACGCCCCCCCCTTGCCCTCCCGTCTCCCCCCAGGTCCCTCCCCTGGCCCCCGTGCAGTCGTACCACCGCTACAACATCCTCCCTCTCGCGCACCTCCTCTCCACCTGGCTCACGGACCCCCCAGCGCACTCGCACCCGGACCGCAACCTGGTGTTTGAGAGCGTGAAGCGGTGCCACGACGACGTGCAGCGCTTTCGCTACGAGGACCCAGACACCTTTGATAGCCAGCTGCTGGCGCTGCTGGCGGCCGCCAATGCGACCGAGTGGTTCACGGACAACCAGAACGGACGCATCCGGGACTGGCTGTGGCAGGTTACCCAGCAGCACTTCACGTGAGTCAGTCGGTTGGCTGGAGTGTGTGTCATGGGATGGGTGCAACACATGCAGTGGGATGGGGATCTGGATGGATGCTGCAGAGGTGCAACAATGTGGCCGTAAGTTGCCATTTTAGTTGCCATTTTAGTTGCCGTATAAGTTGCCATATTATTTGCCATATTTTGTTCAATAATGGGTTAATGGAACATGGGCCGAAGGGAGCTGCTGAGCTGCATAACATCGCCTGTTATGCTCATGCGTTCTTAGTCGTAAGGAGAAAAGAACGCAACTACTGATGTATCTACATGCGTTACTCGGTTCATCTATCCTAGCCTTCTTTTTTCACCCGTTTCTTCCCGCACTGCCTTCTGATCCTTCCCTCCCTCCCTCCCTCCCTCCCTCCCTCCCTCCCTCCCTCCCTCCCTCCCTCCCTCCCACCTGCGGCCGTTATGCATCATCCATCGCTTCGATCGCCAGTAAATCTCTCTCTCTTCACTCAGCCAGTGCTACTGGCATTGGGTTGCTGTCCTGTCCGGACCCGACCTGACTTGGACCCACTTGTCAATCATTGCCTTACCGGTAACGTACTTGGGCGTCCCAACCTTACCAGTGAATCTGTGGCGTTTCTGTGTCGCCAACAATAAGGCCTGACCGCACCCCGGCCCACAGTGCTTCCCGTTCAAGTTTCAACCCAATTTCCTGCTCACTCGCATGCATAGTTGGGGTTTATCCTTTGAACCTTAGGCGTGGCACGTTTGTCAAACCCAAACCGTACAAGTGCTCAAGGGCCCTGGCTGCATGCTGTAGCTCCCGGTGCTGCTGATTGCCTTCAGATTTTATTAGACCCTCCCTCTCTGTCTTGGCTTGAGTGACAGAGCACGGAGTGTTAAGACAGGGCTATGAACTAGGCATAGGACTAGCAAGAGGTTTAGCTAGGGTAGGAGCAAGTTGACGAGAGAAGAGGACTAAAATAGAGGAGGTACAAGAAGGCGGGGTTGTCCCCTCTACAGTAAGATTCAGCAATGTAACAAACCTACCAAGCCTAACAAACATATAAAATATGTGTTTAGCAACCGCGCAATGTAGCAACCGCGCCAGCCATGGCGCTGCGCTGAAGATCCGCCCCCCACCCCTTCCCCTTTCCTCTCCTCTGCCTTTCCATTCCTCCCCGCCAGGGATCCCGTTATCAGACCAAATCGGTCTGATGGTCTGAAAATCAGACCGGGTTTTTATGTTTCATCTGATTTTTTTACGAGCCAAATATATTCGTCTGATCGTTCAGACAAGATATAAGAATTCGTCTGAAACATCAGACTAGGTGTACACATTCATCTGATTTATCAGACCGGCCGTTTTTTTCCGTCTGATACTGATACCAACAAATCCGCCCTTCTAGCAGCAGGGCCACTAGTCCACATGCCCACTGGGCCACTGCCTGCCACCCAGTCCCATGTGCACCGCAGCACGCGCATTCAATTCTACCCCGAGCGCGGCAGCAAAACAGTCCAGCGCACATAAAATTTCAGCTTGCTGACGCAAGCTGCTGCCACGCCACTGTCTTGTTACGGGCACCGTCGCTGCCAGCCAGGTTCCAAGGAAGCAGCGCTGGGCAGCAATGTGCCAGCGCATTTCCCGATGAAACCGCAAGCCACCCTCGTCGTGCCATCACGACGAGGGTTTCGTATTGAATCTGCAACCCCAAGCCACTCTTCTTCGAGCCGCCATGGTGTACAATCAGCCCACAGAAGCCCCCAATCTCATACCACCACGTCTCAGAGAACCACTCCCTGCAGCCATGAGTGCTCTCTGTGGTGTCCTCGTCCTCCCCTCGTCCTAGTGCTTCATTCTTGGCTGGCTCTCCCACCTAGTTCCTGCTCATATCGTGTGCCTCATCTTATGGCCTTAGAGGAGGTTAATGCTAACCCTCCTAAAGATGCCGCACCATCGACGGTTACGAGGCTAGACCTGCTTCGGTCCCGACCCGCGCCGCCTCCCCTTAGCACTGAGCCGCATCAGAGGCGTATGCCCGTCGAGCCTACTCTGCCTGTCAAACCCGCACCGCCTCCTTCCGCTACTCGACATACGACTAGTCGTCGAGAGGCTAGTCCTAGTACGAGTAACAAGCATGCGTTGAGTTCTCCACCCTCGGCTCGCTCTCCCGCCGCTAGTCCGCCTCCCGCAGCATGTGCACGATCGCGTAGCCCGTCTCCTGCCGCCCGCTCGCCTATGCTTAGTCCTCCCCCTACAGTGGCTCCTCTGAGCCCACTGCCTCCGTTGGACACGGAGCCATGGATCATCTTTGGTGGTGAAGGCTCCGAGCTCAACTCTGCTACTAGGCCTTCCCGTCCGTCATCACCTACAAGGCAAACCGTTTCTGCCGTCCTTCCGCCACGCATCTCTGGAGGGCCCGTCTTGCCCCCCCGCAAGCCTGACAAGGCGAAGTACATCCAGCGCAAACTCAGCTTCGGTCGGCATGCCCATGCCTCCACTGCGGCTAATCCTACCCAGCTCGTCAGCAGCAGCGGCGATCCTGGTCCCAGCTCCCCGCCGTCCAACGACGACGGGCCATTCTTCCTGACGGTGGATGAGCTCCAATTCAAAGCGAGGGAGTAATGGTTACGCCACTTTCCATGGTTGGTGATTTCCATGGAAATGGTCGCCCCTGCATGAAGTGCAGCGTCTGCATGGCGTTTGGCGACGAACCCGACTATCAGTACGGCCGCAACGGTGAGGGCGGCATCGACATTCAGAAGCAAACAATGCGTAAGCATCATCACAGCCTGAAGCATGAGGCTGCCGATCGTAAGTCGATCGTCGACTTCGCGAACGGTGACAATGAGGCTCGACGACTCAAGCGGCTCATGGCCATCGTGCTTTTTGTTTGCAAGTCGGATGCACCTATCGTTCTGTTCGTTTCCCTTGTCCAGTTCATGGCAGAACAGGGGACGCCTGATCTGCCCTTGAGGGAACGAGGAACCTACCAGAGTGAGTAAGTGTCCCACGTTTTTAAGGCGAAGCCCTCCTCATCGGAGTTCCTCATTTGTCGGTTATGATATTTGTTTGAACTTACTGTCTCTATTTACATTACTCCTCCCCTATGCCCTCCGGTGTTACCCGAATGGCAGGTATGGATTCCTCCAGCTCGTCGATAACCTAGTGGCTTACCTGCGGGCGAAGCAGATGGTCCTAACAAGGCGAGCCCCTTTCTTGGGATCCAACTCGACGAAAGTACGTACCGGCGCCGAGGGAAGCACATGATCGTTTACCTTACCTTCCTGCGTGGTACGGAGGTCGCCACGTAGTTCTTCGCGCACCTAACGGTGGAGAAGTGCGACGCCGCCTCCATGCAAGCCGTGCTTCTGACTCACCTGGAGTCATGTGGGGTCGACCTCAATAAGACCTGTGGAATCAGCACCGACGGCGCCAGCGTGATGACGGGAGCGCAGTTGGGCCTTGTCGCCCGTCTTCGCACTCGGATTCCGCATCTAGTATCATGCCATTGCATCGCTCATTGGTAGCCATTCGCACTCCACCCGTTTTTTATCATGCTATTTCTCCGCGCTTTGTTAATCATCCCTCCGTGGCCATGCATGCAGGGAGGCCCTAGCCGCTAAGGACGCGGCAGCGGACTTTCCTGACCTAGCTGTGGTCGACAAGGTGGTCCGCTCCTTGGCGGATATCCTCGGCCGTTCGATCGTCGTCCACAACCGCTTCAAGCAGATGCAAAAGGTGGTGACCAAGACCAACCTCGAGATGCAGGGGATCCATCAGATCCGCTGGCTTTCTCGTGGTGAGGCCATTCAGCGGCTGGTCAAGGTCTTCCCAGCTGCTATCCTCTTGCTGCGGGAGTATGATAGTCAGATGTATGCTGTTGTCATTAGCCTGAAGTTCCACTTCCTTCTGTACTTCCTGGCTGACATCGTCGCGGAGCTCAATGCGTTGAATCTGAAGTTCCAGCGTCGACAGGTGCGTCCTTCTTAGCATGATTTCTATTTACATGCCCGAATACTTAATAATGTTTGCTTTCTCTTTGTTTGCACCCCTCCCCCAGGTCGACGTGACGCAAGTTCTTAGGATGGTGGACAACACCATCCTCATCCTGCACAGCCGGAACGTCACCTACGACTCGCAGTTCGGCCCGACCTCGGGCGACTTCCTCGAGTTTCTGCAACTTCACGCTGGCGGCAAGGGCGTTACTATGTGGGGCACAGATGCAAACGGCACTCCTCCCATCCACACGTACTAGCTTCATGAGCAACCAATCAAAGGCCAACAAAGCGGAGGGGACATGGAGTCACTCCAGAAGCTGGCAACTGCTGTAGTGTTGGCGATGATCGGCCATCGGCGCGGTCGATTCCACGACTTGGCCTCCCTCAACGGCACTCGCCTCTACAAGCAGAGTTTGTATCCTCGAACCGCGTTCAGGCGCGAGCGTAAGTTCATGGAGTGGCTGTTGTCTCTGCGCAACCTGTGGAAGCGTGACCCCAAAGTTTCTGACACCCTGCCCGGTAAGGCCGCTCCCTCGTCATCGCGTCTATAATTGGCTGCTCTCTCGCGTGTATAACACTGCTTTCCATTGTTGCCCATTCCTGACTTCTGTTTACCCACCCTTCCGCTGACCCCTCCCCCACCCTCAGGCGTCCATTGGGGCAAGGCCAGGAAGGAACTCACCAGCTTCACCACGATCATGTCAACGCACCATAACGACCTCGACTTCCACGCTGCCTTAAAGCACATGCTCTCAAGCGACGAATGGAAGATGGCCTACCCCAACATTGTCCTTGTGTGGATTGCTGTCGCCGTGCTGCCTCTGAGCACGATGGAGTGCGAGCGCGGCTTCAGCCGACAGAATGTGATTAAGAGCTGGCTTCGCGGGAACCTCTGCGACGCGCGCCTGAGCGACCTTATGACCATCTCGCTGCTGGAGTACGAGATGGAGTGGGACGACCTGGTGACCATGTGGCACGGGGGAGTCAAGAAGCGGCGCCCTGCCAAAGAAGTTGTGATGGCACAAGGCTCGAGGCCGACGAAGAAGCCGAATAGGTCCGATGCAGTAAAAGCGGCAAAGGCCGCAGCGAAGGCAGCAGCAGCAGCAGCTCGAAGAGGAGGAGGCCCCTATGGACAGCGACACCGACTCTGACTAAAGGCATCACCATGAGTAGCGCCGGGTGCCTCGGGTGCCGCAGCCGCCATCGCCGGGTGCCTCGACGACGACGCCGCTGCCGCAGGTGCTGCACGCCCTGCGGCGGCCGCCGCCGTAGTCGCCGACGGAACCGCCGCCGCTGCGACCCACCGTCGACGTCGCCACCTTGCTTGCCAAGGGGTCGATGTCAAGATTTAGTTTTGTATATGTTATAGGCTAGATAGGTGAATGCTCATAGAGGGTACAGCACCATAGCACAAAACCTCCCTGCATGGCACAATCTAGTTCATTCCGTTATTCTAACATGGTATCACGCTAGGTTAGGTCCCCCTCCCCGCCTGCGCTTCCGCCCCTAGCCCTAGCCCTAGCCTTAGACCGCGCCCTAGCCCGTGCCCCATCATGCCGCGCTGGCCCCGTCACGCCGCGCTGGGCCCGTCCCGCCGCGCCAGCCCCGCTAGACCGCGCCGGCCCCGTCAAGCCGCGCCGGCGCCGTCACCGCGCCGTCCCCGTCACTCCGTCCCGGCCCAGTCTCGCTGCATCGGCACCGCTAGACCACGCCGGTCCCGTCACGCCGCGCCGGCCCCGTCACGCCGCGCCAGCCGCGTCACACCGCGCCGGCCCCGTCGCGCCACACTGGCCACGTCACGCCGCACCGGCCCCGTCACGCCGTGCCGGCCCCGTCACGCAGCGGCGGCCTCGTCACGCCACGCCGGCCTTGTCACTCCTCGCCGGCCCCGTCACGCCGCGCCGGCCCTGCCATACGGCGCCGCCCCGCGCTGCAGAGCCACTGCGCCACGCCGCCGAGCCGTTGCGCCCCCGAGTCGCTGAGCCGCGTCGCCAAGCCGCTGCGCCACCGAGCCGCGCCGCGCTGCACCGCCGAGCCGCCGAGCCGCCCCAACCTGC